TCGGTAATCAATGAACTGTTCAGTAATTGCCTACTTCAAAGCTAGAAACTCAAGACGATGAGAAGAATATTTCTTCTCAGCTTTGTTATTTAGTCCTCTGCTGACATACGCAATAACTCGCTTCTGTCCATCCTGCCCTTCACAGAGAACAGCCCCTTGTCCATGTGTACTAGCATCTGCATGGAGCTTAAATAGTAATCTGTGTAGGTTTGAAGCTGTTTGAAGTGATGGAATGCCTTGTACAGATCCCCATATCCACGGCTGTTGGGTAACTTTCTTCCGCGTTCTCTTTAATCAAAGTATTAGACTTGACAGGGGCATGGTGATTGCGGCAAAACTCTTCACAAATCTCCGGTACTACCCTGCAAATCCAAAAGTGCTTAACGTCTATTGGATTGTTTGGTTGAGGCCATGTCTTCATCTTTTCACATTTAGCTGGTTCTCTTAGTGTCTGAGTCTCTTAAACAACTTCTTCAACCTGTCCAGATGTTCTTCGAAGGTATCAGCAAAGACAATCACATCATCCATGTAGATAAGGCATACGTTTGGGTGCATATCTTCAAAACATTCATCCGCTTGAATTCATAGAATCCAAGGGGTCCCACAGACAGAGAAAGCAGTTATCTCCTTGTGATGTTTTTCTAATTCAACATGGTGGTATCCTCCCTTCAAATCCATTGTGGAGTAGAATTTTGATCCCCTAAGAGTATCCAACAATTCTCAATCCTGGGTAGAGTAATGAGAAGCTCATTATCAAAATCTGAAATGATGATGATTCTTAATTGGGTTACAATGTATCACATGTTGTATATGTATGGATATTGGCCATGTTTGCAATCAGCAACAGCCTACAAGTTTTCGTTATCACTACCAACAGCCCACAGGTGAACTGCATCACTATCAACAGCCTACAATTGAACTGCATCACTATCAACAGCAGCCCACAGTTGAACTGCATCACTATCAACAACAGCCCATAGGTGAACTGCATTAAGCAGATTTGAATGGTATTACCGGAGATTTGTGAAGAGTTTTGCCGCGATTGCCATGCCTCTGTTAAGTCTAATACTTTGATTAAAGAGAACACGGAAGAAAGTTAACCAACAGCCGTTGATATGGGGATCTGAGCAACACAAGGCATTCCATCACTTCAAACAGCTTCCAACCTACGCAGATTACCATTTAAGCTCCATGCAGATGCTAGTACACATGGACAAGGGGCCGCTCTCTGTCAAGGACAGGATGGACAGAAGCGAGTTATTTCGTATGTCAGCAGAGGACTAAATAACAAAGCTGAGAAGAAATATTCTTGACATCGTTTGAGTTTCTAGCTTTGAAGTAGGCAATTACTGAACAGTTCATTGATTACCAATATGGTACAAAGTTCAGAGTATATACAGATAACAACCCAAATTATCCAGTGAATGACACTGTGAGCAACGCTCATGCGGCTCTAGAACTCCTGGTCCATTAATCGCCTCTTATCACAAATTAGGTTGCTGGGAACCTATGCTAATCAATAGTCCCTATGGGTTCATACAAATTTAATGCAGCGTCTAAGGTATATTGACCAAGCAAAATTTACACAATGTCAGAAACGCAGCGATGAAACACGTTACACACTGTCCATTTCAACGCATTTATGCACTTTTTAGGAGCCAGCAGTGTTACGTGTTTTACTTCAAAATGATAGTCTGTCAATTTGTGATATATTATTGAAAACACGACAGTGAGTACGCCAGAATGATAACTGTAAATCATGGTGTGAAAAAATCTTCATCTCTACTGTAACAACATCCTCGTGCATTAACAAGACCATGTTTATCATTGATATAAATGTTATAATCCTTTTTGCCATAACTGGCACTGCGTAATGAGGTAGCCTCATGGTAAAGCCGTTCACTCGAATGTGTGAAGACAATCGCTGGTACCAACGGTCATTATATTGCTGGAATGGTCCAAAACTTGACAAGAACCACATTTATAGACTGAAACTATTACCTATTGAAGGTTGAACATAAGTACCTCATAAATGTTATTTCCCGGTGTTATTTCTAGTTCTGAGTGTTTATGGTCAGTTCAAATTTCTACATGTTTGAGTTACAAACCTTCAAACGGTTTTCCTGTATCAAGTCACAGATTTTGGAATGACTGAAGTACTTTTCAGGGACTGACTCAGGCCCGAAGTCTTTTGTCCTCAATGGAGGTAAGTGTGACTGCAAGACTGACAACATATTACTGGCCTTCTATTATATATCATCCACGGCCATGCAGAAGGAACAGTTGTTACGTCAGATGTGTTTCAGTCATGATCTACACAGCTGTGTTCAGTCGTGATACATAATGAAACGACCGTGTTGACCTTGCGTTCTGTTGTCATTGGGATGGAAGTGCTCCAGTTGATTGTAAAAAATATGTTCATGGGTTCAAAGAAGTTTCAAACCTGATTCTATGTCTTGGGTACTGCCCACTCCCTCATTCAACCACTCACTCAACCAATCCACCAATCAAAATGTTATCCAGGTCATAGGTTGGGATTCAAAAGTAAACTAAAATACTCACCAGGGAGGAGTTCATCATGGGACCACATTCAAGTCTAGTTTGAGTGTGCCTGATCTTTGCATTGATCCAGGAGCCTCTTTTGAGTGAATGTTTCGTTAAGATGTGTCTCCTGCCCATAATTATGGAGACGTGTCCGTGAGACATCATAATATGTGACCACAGTTCTATTTAAGACAGCAGGTGATAAGACGAGTTGCTGCAGTCTTTAAAGGATAATGTAATTTGATTTGACTGTTGGAAAATAGTTCGATGACATTTATTACAAGAGAATGGTGATACAGTACAGTGGGTAATCATGTATGGATGGGACTTGGCGTGGACAGAATGTGGGGAGAGACGCAAAGAGCCAAGACATGAAAGGGGGAATGAACATTCACTACATGTAACAATGTATAGATATGTCAAGAATTGTAAACCTGGACCAAGTGTATTGAATTGTATCATACTGATAGGTGTGAACAAATCTGTTTTTGAAGTGTTTTCTATGTGAACGAACAGACCTTTGAACTTACCGAACGGTTGAAGATCACTGTATTGAAGTTTGTCATTTTACGATTTGTTGTTTGTGAGTTGAAGGAAGACAGTACAATAATGACTACCATTAAACAATTAAACATTTCAGATTGTCGACAGCTAATGATGTCAACAGATGCACTCTCCACTTTCAAACTATCTGTTAGATTTGATTGTTGGTGGTTGGTCCTGTCACATAACTAGATATACTCAGTATATCACACACACAGTATATTAGATATACTCAGTCACATTGTACATTAGATATACGCAGACACACAGTATATAAGATACACTCAGACACACGGTATATTAGATATACTCAGTCACACTGTACATTAGATATACTCAGACACACAGAATATTAGATATACTCAGACACAGTATATAAGATATACTCAGACACACATTATATTAGATTTACTCAGACACACGGTATATAAGATATACTCAGACACACTGTATATTAGATATACTCAGACATACGGTATATTAGATATACTCAGACACACAGTATATTAGATATGCTCAGTCACACTGTATATTAGATATACTCAGACACACGGTATACTACACATACTCAGATATATTAGATATGCTCAGACACACGGTATATTAGATATACTTAGTCACGCTATACATGAGATAAACTCAGACACACGGTATATTAGATATACTTAGTCACGCTATACATGAGATAAACTCAGACACACAGTATATTAGATATACTCAGTCACGCAGTATATTAGACATACTCAGACACACTGTATATTAGATATACTCAGACACACAATATACTACACATACTCAGATATATTAGATATACACAGTCACACAGTATATTAGATATACACAGACACACGGCATATTAGATATATTTAGTCACGCTATACATGAGATATACTCAGACACACGGTATATTAGATATACTTAGTCTCGCTATACATGAGATAAACTCAGACACACAGTATATTAGATATACTCAGTCACACAGTATATTAGATATACTCAGACACACAGTACATTAGATATACTCAGTCACACTGTATATTGGGTATGCTCAGTCACACTGTACATCAGATATACTCAGTCACACTGTACATTAGATATACTCAGACACACAGTTTATTAGATATATTCAGACACACTGTACATTAGATATGCTCAGACACACAGTATATTATATATACTCAGACACACTGTACATAAGATATACTCAGACACTAGGTATATTAGATATACTCAGACACTCTGTGCATTAGATATACTCAGACACACAGTATATTTGAAATACTTAGTCACGCTATACATGAGATATACTCAGACACACAGTATATTAGATAGATATACTTAGTCACACAGTATATTAGATATACTTAGTCAATCTATACATGATATATACTCATTCACACTATGCAGGCAGAAAGGTCTATTTTGTGTTACTGAAACTGAATACTTTGATTTCACATGAACGGTAATTACAAACATAAACACGGCCACGTCCATCTACACAAACTCCCTGCGGGAACGAAACGCCATCATCTTTAGTGAGTATGTTTCTGATAAACTGTCCTGACTCAGTCAGATGAACAACAGTGTGTTGATAGTAGTCAGTAACCAGGATGTCACCTGTGCTGGTACTTGTGATACCGCGTGGATGTCCTAGTGTTGTGTGACCTGTTGTAGGGTAAGTGAACACAACGTCCCCTTCAGCTGTCAGGCAAAGGACACGCTTCGAACCTCTATCCGACACAAGGATGTTTCCTGTTCTTGTTGTACAAAGAAAGGAAGGAGAAAGTATGATATCCTTTCCACTATCTATAGGTTTAATTGACTTCAGGACATTTCCTCTCATGTCCAGAATATCCACGCATCTACGAGAACCTGCTGCTAGTGTTGATGGTGTCAGAGACGTTATACCCCAGCACTGTTTGCTGGTTGTGATGGTCGACAGCAGCACCAGGTCAGGGTTCACTTCAACTGTTACAATCTGTCTGGTATGCGGCACAGTGACAGCCACCTGGTTGTGTTTCAGCCTTGTTATACCCCAAGGTGAACCTCCCAGTTGGAGCTTGCTGTGATGTCGTTGTTTGTTCCTAGTGTAAAAGGACTTCACACTGTTATTGTTGTAGTCTGTTACAACCACTGTGTCTGTACCATTCACCAGCAATACTGTTAAGTCAGCAGGGCATACATTATTCTCGCCTCCAGCTACCTTAACGTTAATGGTGTCCTGTAACACAGGAGCAGCCTTCAGGTCCAGCATGTTACTGGTGTCTTGAGATACAGGTGTTGCCTCCAAGTTCACCATACCGTCATACTGGACATCTATCTCACCCAGCTGTAGATCGTCCAGAGCTCTACTCAGCATGGCTTCGTTCTGTCTCAACATGATCTTGGCTATTCTCTTCTTCAAGTCTACGTCTCCGACAGCATCCACATCACCGGCCTTACATCCCTGATACATCTCATACACGTCCATGTCACACTCAGATTGTAGAATCTGGTCTATCAGCTCAGTCTGTTGTCGGTACATCTGAACTGACATTTTACCCGACTTTAGGTCGGCTGTGAGTTGTTCAATATGCTTTTCAGAAACTTCTTTCAGTTCATCTAGAAGTTTATTTTCCATGAGAGTTATCTTTTCTCTCGCGTTGTTAGCAAAAGACTTGATGTCATGTTCCATTCTTGCATATCGATCTTTTTCAGAAACGACGTTCACTTTAACAGCATCAACTTTTACTTCCATTTGGAGTTGCTTCTTTGAAATAGTTTCCTTCTTATTCAACAGCTGGGACTTTAATGCAGGTAATTCCGACTCCAGTGTGACAACTGATTCACATTTCCTGTGATAGATAACACAACAGGTGTGACAGGTGACTTTCTTGCAATCTTTGCACAGGAATTTGATGTTTTCATCCTTGTGTTCTTTACACTTAATGTTTCGTTTCCTGGGCATAATGGCCTCACTAGTCAGGGCAGTTGTATCGTGATGACGAGTGGATGAGATGCGACTGTGCACCCTAGCACATACATCACACAGGGCGTCATCGCATACCGAGCACCACACAGTCGCTGGAGTTATTTCCCCTTCGCGATGACAGCACGTGCAGTTCTTTGTATCTGGACAAAAAAAACAAGGTTGAATTAAAAGCATTCAGCATCGTATCATCGAGTGTTTGTTCTCACGTCTAGCTATTTAAGGGCGGTGGGCTAGCCTTGTAGTCAAAGCGTTCGATCGTCACGCCGAAAATCCGGGTTCGATTTCCCAGATGGGCACAATGTGTGACACCTATTTCTGGTTTCCCCGCCGTGATATTGCTGTAATATTGCCAAAGGTGGCATAAAACTAAACTCACCCTCACTACTTGTTGTGGTTTATGAATTGTTGTTACTAGTAATTTTAGTGTAAGCTACCTCATAACAGATATCTGCAAGACTGACTTCAGATTTCGGGAACTTGAATGACTAGTTTGACATATTAAAAAATGAGTTATCACTTGAACCCTAAATACCCTACCTTTTAACTTCAACCAAGATATTTGGAAAACAGCTATGCAGGACCACTACATTCATGAGTATTGTGGGGGTACAAATTAAAATTTGTATCAGTAAATAATGAATGTATTTACAATTACATGTAGATTTAGATAAGTCATTTTTACATTGAGTAAGGGAGTGTGTTGCCTTCGCAAAGGTTAAGAGTCGAACATGGCACGGCTACAAACTTTATACGACGACCACAGACGAATATTTAACAGATTTTACACGTGTTTATCCTTCCTTTCTTTTGAGTGTGGTGCAAGACACATCCAATAGACCATCGTGCATTGCAGTACCAGTTTACCATTGATCGTTACCTTTACATCCGGGTCCAAAAGAGTCCAGGAGTCCCTGGATGACAAAGCTCGGTTTGACGTCATCCGCCCACTCATCTATTGGTCTCTCGGGGGAGGTCACTTTCGTCATCTTGCTGCAGAAAGGACACAGCAGAGACTTGGCATTGATAGCTTCCGGTTTGGTTTTGGTGTAGTTGACGACACATTTCCGACAGAATGTGTGATAACAGACAAGGGTGCATGGATTGTCAAATACTTCTGTACATATGGTGCATGTGAGAAAATTTTCTTGCAGTTTCTGAGACGTCGCCATCTGCAAAGTGAAGATGCATTAAATCTACAATGTTATTACACATTGCATGCTGCCGGGACTATTTGCACTAGGCAATATGGCCAAAGTAACGGTTGCGTGTAATAGCATTTATACAAAATAAATGATATGTTGGTGGAAGTTATTTGGACCCTTTTTCATAACCCCTTGTCCATTTTTAAAAAATCAAATTAAACAGACTATTGTTGACAATCATAAATGAAATGTATTCCTACGCGTGAGCCCTGTTATGACGGCGTAATGCACTCATTCTGTAAGTTGAATTCTGATATATTATTGAGCTAATGTTGGATGGGTAATAAATGAATATTTAACGAATGAATAAGGTATTATACGGGACATCATTTAGTATTCTCTCTCTATATATAAACGATAGTAAGTGTTCATTTCAAATTTTGAACATACCAACGCAACCACAGCCCACAAGCCTCACAGATGTATGCGTGCGTGTGTGTGTGTGTGTGCACGTGTGTGTGTGTGTGCGCGCGCACGTGTGTGTGTATGTGCTCTGGATAAAGACTGAAAATTCTAAGATCAAGGCCTTCTGCAATCAATATTGTGTGTGCCCACCCTGGGAGACAAGAACAGCCTGTTGGGGTGTCGTCTTGTGCATATACCCCAGGTCACTAATCAGTCAAAGTTAAGCAATGTTGTACACAGAGAGTCCTTGGATGGTTGACAGTTTTGTTTTCAGCTTGCGTGATCTCGGTACTGTCATGAAGTGACGAAGATGAAACACATTTGTTTCTGCCATTGTGTAAACTTGGTGTCCAAACAATCACACTGCTTCCGCTAACTACGTGGACGTCCAGCTTACGTTTGACACAAAACGTTAATACGACGACAACACACCCGCCATTTACACCAAGAAGCAACAATGACTCGTGCACTTGGTACATAAAGCGCTGACTTTTAATATCAGCACTCATTTACATAACGAAAGTAGCTAGGCTAGTGTCAACTGCGTGCGCCAACAAACGCGACTCCAGCTATGAATATTTACTGTCTAAATATTTTATTAAATGTAGAAATGACAGCCCTAATAGTTTTCCATCTTGAGTCAATGTACCGTTATGTCCACAGACCGAGTCACCTTAGATTAGGCTGTACATATCGATATATCCGTACATAGTGAAAGTAGACCACAGAGGGAAGGACTCGAATTCTAAGGCCATTATCACCGTATTTCTTCACACCTTGTCGTTTGATAACCGCGTAATTACGTCGCTATACCTGGTCATTGTTAGAATTGTAGTGTACGTGAAGTCTGGCAAATACCGCCTGCAAGTTTACTCAACTTCATTTCCTCGTTCCAACCAGTCGGTGAAGGGTGAGGTTGAGCCCCATAATAAACGGCTACTGGTCAGCAACGACCCACAACACGACCAAAATACACCCTCCGAGAAGACACGAGGGGTCTGGGTTCACGTGTCAAGTATACAACACGATAAAGCACATATACTTCTGTCATTGCTTACGTTCATTTATCTCTCAGTCATTTCCTCCCAATGTACGACTTTTGAAACTAATTTGACATATATTTTTTCTAGTCTGTCTCACAGTCCCTGAATCACATTATTTTCCCTACAGCCTAGCCTCCCCTGCAGTGCTAAAGCCCTAATTGAAGCAAGTCTAGATTTCCCCAGGTTCTGAATCTCTGGTCTCCCTGGGGCTCCTTTTCAATTTATAATAGGTTTGTTTGTTACTATCAAAATTATATCTATTCAGAGACTAAGCATTAGTCTATTTTCTTTCCAAAATGTAGACTTTGATACGTTTACTTTTAATGATATACTTTGTCTTTAGTTAGTCTCTAATAAAGGCCTTTCGTATCACCAGAGTCGCGTTATACAGGTGCATTTACGTTTATTGTCGCCTGTATAATGTACTGACCAGGATTGCATAACTCATGTCGATAACGAAAGTAGGCTGTAAGAGATTGCCCAACAAATGCAGTGCCACTTGATATTATACACGCATACTGTCTAAAAACGGTGTTATGTGTAGATATGATAGGCATAGTAATTAACTGACGTCAGTGTATCGGTAGGTCCACACACCAACTTGTGTGAGATGAGGGTAGTCGGATCCCTGTACATAACGAAAGTAGACACGTCAGCACAGCAGTGGGGAGGTCACACACAGGAAACATAACACCATGGCCGAATTAGTACAGGATTACCACCGTATTTCTTCACACCTTGTCCATCAATCACGGAGTAATGATATCGCTATACCTGGTCATTGTTAGAATTGTACTGTATGTGAAATCTGGCATATATCGCCAGCACGCCCACTTACCTTTACTTCCTCGTTCCACACAGGCGGTGTAGAGGGAGATTGGATCCCGTGATAAATAGCTACTGGTTAGCTGTGGGTTGTCGCCCCACTACCCGTTATTGAACTCTGGGTTACAAGTATATTTTCTTTCAGAGGAAGCTTGTAGGCGACAGGGGTCAAGGGTGTCACGGGAATAACACGTTAATGTACACAGCGTTTTGTCGTTGCTTTCATTCTGCGAGTCGTTTTTATTTGAACACACGAGTATGTAGCCTCATTTCAAACCTCCCTTTCAACTGCATGTATCGCAAAGTCCGTAGTCCATCGTGCTTGGAGTGGGAAGGGGAAGCCTCGTGGTGAAGATCCTTCTCGTCACGTCCGAGGTCAGGGGCGTAGCTACCATTATAAAAAAAGCCCGGGCTTACACATCATTTTTGCTAAAGATCGCCATGAAAGCTGGGCAAGCCCTCAAAACTATAAAAATAAAGCTTGGCAACCTATCGGGTGTAAATGCAAGATTTCCTTGCATACATTTCAATGTACAAACTCTTTAAACTGCAATTGTTTGCTAAGTTGTTACAATTGGCGTTAATTATTTTATCCATGTTGGTCCAATAATTAAAACACTTTATTATCTAAAGTTCATTTCCATTTAAATCCTTATCGGTCAAAAGTGTAAACAATGTTTACATGTGGCCAGTACATTTCCACTACCCTGTGGCCTTCACCTTCATGTGTGATGTCAAAGCTCACAGGTCACATCATGACCTCTCCAAAGCTCATGCATTTTGGAGCACATGCTTGCCAGTGTGTATTGGACATCCATGCTGCCTGGTTGTCACCCAGCTGACTGTAAGCTGAACTATGTAAAGACACATATGTGAGTACTTTACCCTTTCATTGCTAGGTTGTACTATCTCTAAATTACAATGAAATTTTATAGATGCCAAAATGTTAATTGGTTAGTGTAAAAATTGTTAATATATTTCACACCATTATGTGTAAATTTGTGGTTGTTAATTTTACAATTTCAATGTATTCACATATCATTCGAATGAAATATTGAATGTTATGTGCTATGAAATTTGTACATTTTCTGAATTTCATCGAAAGCCATATCCACGGCTGTTGGTTAACTTTCTTCCGTGTTCTCTTTAATCAAAGTATTAGACTTGACAGGGGCATGGTGATTGCGGCAAAACTCTTCACAAATCTCCGGTACTACCCTGCAAATCCAAGAAACTGCTTAACGTCTATTGGATTATTTGGTTGAGACCACGTCTTCATCTTTTCACATTTAGCTGGTTCTCTTAGTCTCTGAGTGTCTTAAACACCTTCATCAACCTGTCCAGATGTTCTTCGAAGGTATCAGCAAAGACAATCACATCATCCATGTAGATAAGGCATACGTTTAGCTGCATATCTTCAAAACAGTCATTCATGAGGCGTTGATAAGTGACGGGACGGTTGCCTAAACCAAAGGGCATCCGGTTGAATTCATAAAATCCAAGGGGTCCCACAGACAGAGAAAGCAGTTCTCTCCTTGTGATGTTTTTCTAATTCAACATGGTGGTATCCTCCCTTCAAATCCATTGTGGAGTAGAATTTGATCCCCTAAGAGTATCCAACAATTCTCAATCCTGGGTAGAGTATATGAGTCTACAACAGTCTCTTGGGTCAACTGTCTGAAATGAATGTACATCCTTAGAGACCCATTTTTCTTGCGTACTAATACCACATTGGAAGGCCAAGGTGATCATGATCGACTCCACTGACTAATAGTTGGCGCAGATGATCTGCATAGATAGCGGAATTCTCTTTTGTCGCTGTTTGAAAGGTCGGTCATCCATCAGAACTATCCTGTTTTTCACCCTTCACACCGAGTGCCTAAGATCTGAAGGTTCTAGATCCATCCTATTAAAGAGTGGATCCCTATTTTGTGATACATCTGCCATGGTAGGCTGTTCTTCCACAACAAGCTGGATCTCACACAGAAGGGCATGGGGTTGTATGACTACTGTTCTTGTGGTAATGTTTGAAATGTTGACATCTACAAATCCTTTCTCTCTGTATGTTGTCAAGCTGGGTGAGATGTCAAGGTCATCAGGAATAGCTGAACGGCATGCACTGTACAATACAGCATGTGTATTGCGATAGGGAATCGCAATCTGCCTTGTCAATGTAGCCAGTAACGGTGACTTCTGAATTGGGTGGGAGGACAACCTTCGTCACTCCTGCTCACTTGACTAGTCCAAGCTTAAATTCTCGTCGCTCAAGATCCCGTTCCTGCAGCTAAATACCAAGGTGTGTGAAGGTTGGCATCTTGCAGAAACTTCTCCCAGTGTGTTGGTTTATAGGTTCCTGAGTAAATCGATAACATATTGGTACCTTGTGATTATAGTTACGAGTAGGACCAACAAGCAGAAGACATGGCTAGCATTCAGCATCAATCCCGTTAACCTTTAAGTCCACCTGAGTCTAACCTGAGCATGGCAGGTTTACTCCATCAGCACATTGAAATGCAAGACATTTGTGATTGGGGGGGATAAGAATACGGGAGAGATACTGATCATAAAATGCCGGACTCATAGCTGAGACTGAAGCTCCTGTGTCCAATAAAGCTCTTGTCTTGATTCCTTGAATACAAGCATCAACTTCATTGGCATTTCCTACAAGTGCTGTTGTTTCATATCTCTGAGTACCCATCTGCCGTCTGGTTTGACCTATGGACCACCCCTTCGCATAGGCCGTCTCCCGTTTAATACAGGCGACTGTGATCCATCCTGACTCTACATCCTGAGGCTATGTGTCCAGACTGTTCGCAACGGAAACACTTTACATCTCTCCCAAAAGGTCGTCCTCCAGATCTGCCTCTGCGTGGTGGGTGATCATACTGCTGTCTCTGCAAAGAAGGATGAGAATAATATCCAGTGGTGCCCTTCTAAGTTTGATTGCCCTCAGGTAGGCTCTTGATAGTGATGCAGTTCACCTGTAGGCTGTTGACAGTGATGCAGTTCACCTGTGGGCTGTTGATAGTGATGCAATTCACCTGTGAGCTTTTGGTAGTGATGCAGTTCACCTGTAGGCTGTTGATAGTGATGCAGTTCACCTGTAGGCTGTTGATAGTGATGCATTTCACCTGTGGGCTGATAGTAGTGATGCAGTTCACCTGTAGGCTGTTGGTAGTGATGCATTTCACCTGTGGGCTGTTGACAGTGATGCAGTTCACCTGTTGGCTGCTGTTGATAATGATGCAGTTCACCTGTAGGCTGTTGATAGTGATGCAGTTCACCTGTAGGCTGTTGATAGTGATGCAGTTCACCTGTAGGCTGTTGATAGTGATGCAGTTCATCTGTAGGCTGTTGTTAGGGATGCAGTTCACCTGTAGGCTGTTCATAGTGATGCAGTTCACCTGTAGGCTGTTGATAGTGAGGAGGAGGAGGCTGCAGCTGTTTCTTGAGAGATTAAGGCTCTTGGTCATTCCTCAAAGTTCCTACATCTGTTTCAGTGGTTGTCTCAGAAACAGCGAACAGCCAGTTGATCTTCCATTCTTTCCTTCCCCTTTACTTTGAATGTGCTCCCGCTCAATCTTTCGAAGTTCTCGTAGCAAAACATCAAAATCCGAGAATAAATCAACCTGTGTCCGCTGACATCTTTGATTGATGGCTTACGTCCTGCCCAAAGCATAGAATGAAGGTGCCTGTTGGTGTCTACAGAATTAACCTCACCAGCGATTGATTGCTTAAGTCCTGCCCAAAGCATAGAATGAAAGAGCTTGTTGGTGTCTACAGAGTTAACCTCATCAGTGATTGATGGCTTAAGTCCTGCCCAAAGCAGAGAATGAAAGAGCTTGTTTGTGTCTACAGAGTTAACCTCACCAGTTTAAAGACGGCAACACCAAGTGTTAACATCTTCATCCTCTCGCTGTCGTGTTGTATAAAAGGATGCCAATACGTTTACAGGAGAAACACTTGTGTCAAAAACACACGTGAGCTTATCTAGAGGAGCGGTGGAGCCCAACCACATGGCAACCCTAGTTGCCCCCACTCTCAAAGATTTCCTAATTGCATGTTCGATTCTCGCCCTTCAATGTGCTTTATCCTTCAATATGCCATGCACGTCACATCTCCGTAAATCATATGGCACATTACTTTCACCTTCACCTCCAGAAAAGCAAGATACATTTAAAGGCTTGTGAAATACCTGCTCTTTTCACAGAGCCAGTTGCATAATAATCCATCCATTTTAACAAACTTTCAGGTGAATCAGCCTTTTACTTTAAGCTGCTTGAAATGTTGCAACAAGTTGAGTCAGGCCGTCTTCTGACATACGTTCCGACCAACCTGCTAGTGGTGCTAACAGCGAGAAATGAAGTGGGGAAGGGGGAAACAACTGTATGACATGGTTAGCATAGACAGGATGTCAACGCAGTGGATCACCACAGCGCAACAAAATGTTCATAGTGATGTCCTACCCAGAATGAAAACAAAATTCTAAGTATGAAATACTGGTGAAATGCTTAGTAATGGCGTGCAGGTGTAAGCTTTGTGACCGCTACAAAAAAGAGAATAAAAGGACAAAATGTCAAAGACGAGAAACCAAGAAGTAAACCCTGACGAGACAGAACATAGACGCTGGGGTTATCCAGTCATTCAAGGCTCATTACAGGAGACATCAGCTCAATCACCTTGTTGATTGCACAGGTCTTCTAACTGATCTACATGGTTATAATGCCACCCTGGATGTAATGCCATATTTTCTCCTGGACAAACGGTTGCATTAGAACCAGGGTATAGTGTACATTGAATTAAAATACGTAACAATACTTCATGGGCCAATACATGTGAGGCTTGAGGTAGACAGGTGTTTGTGTGTGTGTTTGTGTGTGTGTGTGTGTGTGTGTGTGTGTGTGTGTGTGTGTGTGTGTGTGTGTGTTTTGTGTTTTGTGTGTGTGTTGTGCGTGCGTGCGTGCGTGCGTGTGACTCTCGATCATAATTAAAGATAAAGCATCATATAAGTGTATAACATTATTATTTACAATATAATGTGAAAGACCCTCACCGAGTGTATGGCACTGTGCCCTTT